ATGCCACCTTCCTTTTTTTTTTTTTTTTCCTTCCTCCGCAGGGGGAAAACAAATCTTTGCGTCTGCCAAACTTCCCATACCCCACACTGGGTTCTCCTGGGCCATACCATCAGGCTCCCGCTTCAGCTTCCCTGTCTCATTTTACAAACGTTTGCTGAAGAATGAGTGAATAAATCATAATAGTAGTCGCCACCGTTCATCAAGGGCTCACCATATTCCAGACACTGTTCTACACAGTCTACATGGATTAATTCATTTAATTCTTACAATAACCTTTGAGGTAGAGACGATTTTTCTCACTTTACAGATAAGAAATATAAGGCAGGGGCTTCCTGGCTGGCTCAGTCGGTGAAACCTTCGATTCGACTCTTGACCTCAGGGTTGTAGATTTGAGCCCCACATTGGGTGTAGAGATTACTTAAAAATAAAATCCCCTTCGAAAAAAAGAAGAAATGTAAGGCAGAGAGAGAAGTTTTAGAACTTCCCTACTCTAAACCTGGGATTCATACCTCCGCAGTTCAGCCCAGAAGTCTGCCCCTTGCCATAATGAATAAACAAATGAAAGAACAACCTTGTTCATGACAGAGGTATCCTCACTGTGCCACGGACACACCAAGGAGGGCCTCCAAGGGTCAAGTCAAGGGTTGGGAAAGTCAGGTGAGGCTTCCTGGAGAAGGTGATACCCGGCTGGACTCTGAATCAGTGAGAGATGGGGTGGAGTAAGGGGCACTTCTGTAAGGGGGCGCAGCAGGAACAGAGTCAGGGAGGCAGTGAGGCATGGCCAGAACCTGCCGGGAACCCCAACAGCTGGGGACGTTGGGGCCTCCAGTGGCAGCAGGGGCGGGGCTGGAGAAGGGGCTGCATAGAAGCACAGACCAAGTGCTTCCAGGCTCAAAGCAAGAGAAACTGGGGGAAATGAAAATGTCTTTGTGGAGGAGGCAGCCGGGCTTGGAAGACCATGAAGACTGCAGCTGGCAGACTGAGCTGAGAAAGTCATTCCAGGCAGGGGAAAAAGCACGGAGGTGGGAGAGTGGGAGAGAAATATTTAGGGAAGCATTTGCTTTGGCAGGAGGAGAAGAGTGTTCATGGCACAGTGACTGCTGAGACACCAGCAAAGGCCAGGCACAGAATTCTGCCCGGCCAAGCACTGGCTGGAGTTCTGTCAGAGACAGTTTTAGGCCCTGGCTGTGTCCCAGGTCACTTCTGAGGCTCAGTTTCCACCACATCTGTAAAACAGAGATAAGAGACGACCTAAGAAGGGTGCTCAGAGGCTCAAAAATGAAAACGTGTGTGGAAGGACTTGGCAAACCCTAAGGAGTTCTGCCATGTCCCCCAGTCCCTGTACTGACATCACAATCACCACACGAGCTTTTAAAAAACATAGCATAGCACCAGCCAACTCAGCCCTATGCAATCAGCAGGGGCTTGGACAGGCAGTCTTTGTCTTTCAGCTCTTCTTTTCTATTATTGCCTCACGTGGCTCTATTAACTTTAGATCTGCCAGCTTCTGACAGCTGGAAAGAAGAAAATGCCCCAAGAAAAATAGAGATTCGGGAGCTTCATGGAAATACATTGGATTTGGCGGGTTTTCTGGTCAGGCTTGAGAGCTACGGTAAGGGAAAGAAAAAGACCTTTTAGCTTTCTCAAAACATGGGAAATGAGCAAGGCAACCGAAGGGACTACTGGTGTCTTTGACCTCCGGTCTGGAGAGTTCTGAGAAAAAAGAACTCAGTTGCAGTACGGCTGGTCAAGGAAATCAATGAAAAGCACACAGCACCCTACAGCGTACAATATTTTTGCATCTATGTTAATTCATTTGATCCTCCCTCCATCCCAGTGAGGTAGGGCTTCTTATTTATTCCCATTTTACAGGTAAGGAAACAGGCTGAGGCGAAGGAAGTCCATAGGTAGCCGAGGATAGAGCAATGGTTTGCATCTGGGACACTTGGTTCCCGAGGTCTCTCTTATTATACCACATTTTGCTTTTGTGTGGATTGTACAAGGAGCACGGGGGCCCTGACTATTGTTCTAGCTCTGCAGAAAACAGGTTGTGTGACATTGGACAGATCTCTTTCTCTGGGCCTCACCACTATCAATCTGTGTGGTTGTTAAGTGATTAAAAACCACACAGGGATTAAGGGATGTAGTGACCTTTAAAGCATCGAGTACAGTCCCTGGCAGGTGATAACGGTCAGGATGGCTACAGAAGGGTGAAGACAACGGGAAAATGATAGTGTCTATGTACAAAGGGAGGGGCAACGTAATAGTATGAAGGACCAACTTCGCCAGGCAGAGGGCTTCCTGGGGGAGGAGAATCTGGATAGAGGCTTGAAGAATGTAGAGGTGCTCCCCTCCCTCATCTCCCTCCCCCAGTTCCAGGTGACTAGAGGACTAGAGTTTTAAATGTGTAAGAGGGGATGGCCAGAAATGAGGCTGAAGAGGTGGGGCGGGGGGCATATCTCATGAGCCTTGAATGCCAAGCCAAGGAGTTCGGCTTTTGCCACTGAAAGGTTTTAAGTAGACAAGTGTCATGATCACTTTTGGAGTTTTGCAGTTTAGGAAGGATATTTTGTTGCAGTGTAGACAGCAGACAAGGGAGATGGGTAGGGCTGACAGACATTCCCTACCCAAAGCCCAAGTTAGGGAAGATCAGGGAAATGATGAATGCAGAAGTGCTTCAAAACTGCCTGCAGCCACCAACCAAGGTGTGAAGGGCTGTTCATCATGTGTACTTTAGGTGAAAAGCCATTTGGGAGAGCCTGGATCCTCCAGCCCAGCCGGTAGACCCTGCATACAAAGGGCAGTGGGAGTTAGCATTCCCCTCCCCCCCCACCCCCCAGTTCCTTGGGAGTTGATTATTTATCTCCATTTCTCAGATGCTCAGCAGGAGCCTCACTCCAGAACTCCACATCAAGGGAGCGGAGGATGAAAGTCTCCAGGCCCGGGCCCAGGGGGATTGCACTGAAAGCAAGCCCTCTCTCCCCCAGGGAAGGGGGCCAGAGAGTCAGATGGCCATTCCCTGGGCCCCTCCCCTCCCAAGCCTACTGGGCTTTCCAGCCTCTACACCATCCCTGGTGGGAGACATCTAGGTATAATAGTACTGGCAATTAACACTGCAGGATGGTGCTTCCTGTGACAAGTTTTACTGCTTTACTAAGTTACCCTGTTTACTTCTCATAGCAGCCTCTCCTGTGGCGCAGAACCTGAGAGAGGATAGGTGACTTGCCTAAGATTACCCAAAGCTGGGAAGTGGCAGGGCTGGAACCCAAACCCTGTCCAAGCTCAGGGCCCTCACCAAATGCTTTTGGGGGGTCTCCTCCCCCAGACAGGGAGAAGGGCTGGGAAGGGCTTCATCTCCTCCTGAGGGCACCAGGCTGCACCGAGAACGATGAGCAGGTGCAGAGTTGAATCTCAGCGGCCCATTTATTACGAGCTCAGCCGTGAGGAGGTGACTAGATGCAAAGGAGCCTGGGGTACAATTTCAAAGACTGATGAGAAGTCTGGCTGCTTGGCCCTCTGGCCTCCCAGTTCTGGCAGCTGGGTTTCTAATTGGGGGAGGACAAGGGCCAGAGGCAGAGGGGACAGGAGAGCTCTTCCGGTCCTACACTGAGAAGACCAGGCTCCCAGCCTTCTCCTCTCACCTCCCTAACGGGCAGGGTCTGGGGATCTCAGCCCAGGTGAGCACCGTCTACAGGAGCTGCACGGTCACTGGGTGCAGGGGAGGACTTGCAAGAACACTCTGGCTCCGTGTAGCAGATTCAGTTTTGCTGCCCTGAGGCTGGGGTAGCGGCCTCCACTCCTCCTTCCCCATCTCTCTACGTACCTCCCTCCTTCCAGGTAGACAGGCAGACACATACACACAAGCCCAAGCAACTTTTTTAATTAAAAAAAAAAAGGTAATAAAGAAATAAGCAAAAAGACTGGGAGTGCAAGTCTGGGCCACTGCCGGGGGAACACTGCCCAATCTCTGCACCCAGGGGCCCTCTCCACAACAGGGGGTTCCTGGGATGTCCAGGGTTCAAGACCAAAGCCTCCCTCCACCCCTGGGCCAGATACCTCTCGGGTGCCTGACAACTACCCCGTACCCCTGTCTAGGTGTGCAGAATGGGAGACACAAACTCACCCAAGCCCCACACTGGGAAGGCATCCACCGGGCAATTTCTCTCCCAGTCCCCGTTTTTAAAAGTTTTTTTTTTTTTTTGGATGTCTTCCTGACCTTATAAACGTAAAGAGGGGTGAAGAGAGGATGAGCTGCAGAGGAATAAGTGGTGCCTAGTCACACACACAGTTTCCCTTCTTAGAAATCCAGCCAAAGTCCACGGTTCCCTTCAGAGCAAGTAAGTCTGCCGCTTTCCCTCTCCTCTCCTGCTAGTTTTTCTGCCTTCAGCCTGTCTCTCTCCCCTCTGCGGGTTCGTCTTTCAGCCAGTCTTGCTCGGTTTCAGATTCCTGGTCTACTTCTCACTAATGTCTCTGGACCTCTTTCACTCATTTAAAAAAACGAAAGGATGAACTCGAGAAGAGGGAACCCTCACCCACTCAATCTCTTTCTTCCTAACGTCCCCCCACCGTCTCTTTGGCGCGCGCGCGCGCGCGCGCACACACACACACACACACACACGCACACGCACACGCACACACGCATTCTTGCGACCTCCAGATGTTCCCGACCATGCGGCCATCTGCTGAGGTTGCTCAGGCGCTCTGGCGAAGGGGGCAGGGATCCGGGTTGCAGGAAGCTGGGAGCGAGGCTGACTGGAGTGGGCGGGAGCTGCGTGCGCACTTTTGAGACGCTCCCTAGGGTGGAACCCGGGCTCGCTAGGGCTCCGCAGGCGGGCGGGGGGCGGGGCGGGCGCGCGCCGGGAAAGCCGGCACTTTGGCGACACTCCCTAGGTCGTCGGGCGGCGGGCCCGAGCAGCCACTGGGCGCCGGGCAGGCGGGGGCGGGGGGCTCCCAGCGGCGGGCGGGGGCCGGGGGGGCGGGCCGCGCCGCGCGGAGAAAAGCGCCGGCCGGAGAGCCCGCGGCCGGGCCGCCTGGGTGAGCGCGCCGAGGCGGCTGCGGTGCAGGCTTCCAGGTGGGTGTGGGTCCCGGGCGGAGCGGGAGTCGCGCTGAGGGCGAAGGTCCGGAGCCCCGGACCCCAACCTCGCCGCCCCATCCGGCGGGCGGGAGGCGCTGGGACTCTGGGGGCGGGCCCCGGGCCCCTCAACTTTTCCTGGATCCAGGGCGTCGGCAGCGGCTGCGGGGTGCCTGGGGCTGGGCCGGGGTAGGGAACACGTACCAAGGGGTGAGGGCTTCCAGGAGACAAAGGCTCTGGACGCGGGCCGGGGGCCGGCGCCTCTGGGGTCTTTGTGCGGACACGTGCATCACGCGTTTGTGGGTCTTTGTAGATTTGGATCCGGGGACGTGCATCTGCCTGAGCCTTTTGTGTGTCCGTGGCTTTGTGTGGCTTTTTGGTGCCTATGTCCACGTTTTGTGGGCCCGCGTTTGGTTGTGGGTGGGCTCATCGTCGTGTGTCCGCGTACGTGGTCTGTGCCTGTCGACGTGTCTGGGTTGGGTGTCCGTGGAGTGTGTGCGCGCCGAGAGCCAGACACCGCCCCAACTCCTCGCTCCCCTGCTGTCCACCCGGGCCCCCGACTTGACTTCAAACTTTTCTCCTGGTTCCTCCGGCAACAGCCCCCGTCCTCCTCCCGCTGCAGCCGGGGCCGGGGCGCTGGCGGCCCGCCCCTCCTTCACCTCCTGAGGTTCTTAGAGCCGCGAGGGGATGGCATAGGATGGGGGCGGGGGTCAGCCGCGCTGGGGGACTCGCCCAGGCCACGGCTGGGCGGAGCGTGCGGGACACCCCAGCCGACCCAGCTAGAAGAGAGGTAAGCGGCCAGTTCTGGGCCCCGGCGTGGGGGCTGCAGCGGGAGAGGACAGGAGAGGAGACGGCAGCCGGTGTTGCCCGCCGGGCGCTTCTCCGAGGGAGTGTGTGTGACCGAGAGAGACGTGTCTGCTTGGCGAAAGGCCGGCCCCTACCCCCGGCTCCGCTTTGAGATCCGCTCTCCGCTGGCGTCCCGCCCCCGGGGGATGGGGGGACCAGCCCTCCGATCCGGTAGGTGGGGAGGCGACGGCTTCTGGGATCCCGGCACCTACTGGTTCCCAGTGGGACGGCCACGGGCCCAAGTCCAGCCCTGGGCGAGTTGCTCAGCCTCTCGGAGTCGCAGTCACCCTGCTCTGGATGGGGGCGAGAGAACTCCCTCTGGGCGCCGAGCGTGCAGTCTGGATTACCCGCGCTGCGGGATTCGGCTTGAGAGCGGTGCCGCCCACACTTGGCCGGGACGAGGAGGTGACTCAGGAACTTCCCCGATCCTTCCTTCCTGCCTGCTCTACCCTTCAGATAAGTCCAGACTTGCGGAGCCTAGGTCTGACCCCAGAGGGAGCGCTCAGGGGTGGAAGCCTGCTGCGCCTTTGATCCTGAGTCTCGGAGATAGCCCTAACACCTTCCCTCCCCTGCCCCCTCAACCATCCTCCACCCAGTCTTTAACTTTAGAGTTTTGGGGATGCTGCAGATGTGAAGGAGGGCCACAAGCCACTCACCTGGGAAGGAGGCAAACATTGGCGCTTTCCTTTCTCTGCCTCAGTTTGCCTTCTGGAAAGGAAGATGTTGACAACTTCACCCCTCCCTTTCTGTCGTGGCTGACTGCTGGAGACCACAGAACCTGGAAACACTTTGATGTGTGACACGCACCTCCATTCTTTCTAGAGCAGTCCCCAGGCAGTGATTTGCTGTATTGAATGGGGGCAGGGGAGGTGGCTTTGAAGGTAGGGAGGGATGAGGTGAGGTGGGCCTGGAGCCCCTGCAGCCCAAGGAAGGGAAGGCTGGAATGCAGCAGCAGGGGTAAGCAGGAAGTGTCTCTCACTGAGGGGACAGCACTGTGCGGCTGTGTATTCTCATAACAGCACAGAGGTGGTCAGCATTGTGGACTCAATGCAAGGTGGGTGTTGGGGTGGGGTGGGGGTTGGAATTCCCCTGGGAGGGAAGGGGGGGGCAGATATGAGGGCCCTGAATGCCGGGCCTAGGAGCTGGGATTTGAATCTGCAGGTGGTGGAGAGCTGCTGGTGGGTTTAAGCAGGCATAATAGCGTGGGATTGATAATTCCAAGAAAACTTCCTCTGGCTTGTGGGCGGTGCTGGAGACTGAGAGACCAGTCTGCAGGCAGAGTCAGAGTCAAGAACCTAGATTTTACTCCCACTCTTGTCGCTTCCTAGCTCTGTGACCTTGGCCAAGTAACTTTACCTCTGGTTTTCAGTCTCCTCATCCTTCCGATGTGAACATTAGTAATTCCTGTCTCACTGATCTGTGGTGAATGCCAAATAGGATGATAAATTACATGTGCTAACAAAATGAGAGGAGGTTTGTGGTGTGCCTGTGGTGTGGGATTGCACTGACACCAGAAGGCAGAGACAACTTCAGCTGCGGTCCTAAACCTGATTTCACCACCTGGCAAAGCCCGAAGTCTCCTGCAAGCTTGGGCCAGTGATGTCCTCACCAAGCAGGAGGAAGCTTTCTGTCCAGGACATTAAATTTATCTGGTTTATCCCCTTTCACGCGGCCAGGCCCCACACAGGAGATGAGCAGGACACAGATCCACAGATGGTCACAAACCACAAAGGGTATCATACTTTGATATGAGCAACCCAGAGGCCATGGGAGCCTAGGGGGCGATGCAGGTCAAAGAAAAGGGCATCTCTGCCGTCTTCGTCAGAGGGAGCAACCTGTGCAAAGGCGTGGGGCCCTGGAAGCAAAATGGACTTCTAGTCTGGCAAGTCATCTTCGTAGGATGGGTTCTAAGTGGGAGCAGTGGTAGGTCCTATTCTTCTGTTGGGATTGTACTGGGGTGCCCAGTAAGGCTGACAGTTGGACGCAGCGGGCTAGGAACGAGGCTGTCATAGCAGTCCAGGCCGGGACGCCTCCTGAGCTGAACCTGGGCAGGGCGAGGTCACTGCCTGGCTTGGGGGGTGAGAGAGGGGAAGATGGTGACCCACCTACCCGATTCTCATTCTGTCCTCATTCTGTCAGAGGTGACACACCTGCTTCAGCCTGCTTTGTCTTCTGCAGCCTTTCCAAAACCCGCTTCCCAATTCCCTGCTAAATCCTGGTCAGCATTTGTAGCCCAGGAAGGGCCCTGGACGGTGCCTTAGGAGAGAATCCAAGGCTCCCAGGCGCATTTTAGATTCTTTAAACTCTGCCCCTGCTTCACCTTCAGATCTGCTGGTGTCGCAGCTCCTTTTTCTTTCCTGGCCCCTGAAAGCAGCCTTTAGGGGACAGGAACCCACATGCAGTGAGCACCAATGCGTGCCAGGCCTGGGACTGAGTCTTCATCTTTCTTACCTTGTGTAATCATCCCAGTGACCTGCTGGGAGCAATACCAGAATTCTCACCATGTTACAGAGGAAGGCTCAGACTCAGGGGTGAGGGCACACGCAAGCCTCCTGGCAGGAGAGGCACTCTGGGGTTGGCGCCTGGTCTGCCTGGCTGCAAAACCCCTTCCTCTGCCCCAGACTGCCTCCCCGTGAGTCTACACATGCTGCCTTCCACCGAAGGGATCTTGGCGAGCTTCAGGAAGAAGACACGCCGGACGGAGGAAATAGTCTTAGGAGCCTTGCCCATTTCCCTGTAGATCATCCTCCTCGGCCAAGGTTGCTGGGCCCAACTGCACCGGGGATAATGTTATAGAGGAGGCCAGGCACTGGGTGTCAGTACCTGGATCCTGAGTCCAGCCCCTGTCCTCACAGGCTGTGTGACTCTGGACAGATGACCGAACCTCTCTGGGTCTCTTCACGTAGCAGGGCCACCTGACCAGCTGATCTTGTGGGGTGACTGAACAGATCACAGCTGAGGCGTCGGAAAGGTTAAGAGGTGTCCTTTGGTGAAGTGGTAGTGTTCTGAATGCCTGATACGTCTTCATGTAGTATCCGCTCTGTGCCAACCCCAGTGCTCAGCTCCAAGGACATACAGATCAATCGGACCCCATCCCTGCTCACAGGACAGACAGGTAAATGTAATTCCACTCCAGCACGATCAGCTCTAGCCGTCGCCCACACGGGCCCATTTGTAAGTTGAGTCCCAGTGGTATAAGGAGGGATTTGGAGCTCAGACATCTGGGTTTGAGACCTGGTTCCTCTACCACCCAGCTGAGTAATGTCAGTCTCGTCTGCAAAATAGGGACAGTGATCCCCCTGGTCAAGGACTGTGATGAGGCAGAAACGAGATGGTGATATAGAAGGTGCGCAGTGAGCTGATGTGTTTGTACAGATGTGTACAAACTAATGCCACACGGCATTAGTGATTCTGTTGGGAGAGTCAGCCCTCAAGGCCCTGAAATTCTTTTTGCCTTGAGTTTCCAGAGCTAAGTGGGGGGGGAGGGGGGGAAGAGGGAGGGGGCAGGGTGTTCGTGGAATTTCCACCTGGGGATTTCGTTGGCATCAGCTCGAGTGAGCTCATGGCGGAGGGAGCAGGGTGGGAGGCCGCTCGGTGCTGAGCTCGGTGCTGCCTCAGCAGCTCAGCACCGAGCGGCCTATCTCAGGTGGGGGCAGGGGCCCTGGTCCAGCCCAAGGCTCAGCCTCCTGCCCACCTCATTCCTGTGCCAGGGGCTCCCTTTTGAAGTTGTGGTGAGGAGCTGGCAAATCTTTGGCCCAGAAATGCTGTGATGTGGCACCAGGGGCAGGCACCTGGGGCCAGGAAGGCCTAAGCCAGAACCCTGAGCTCTAGATGAGTCTCAGAGAAGGAGGAGGGAGTTTGGACCCTGGCCAGCCGACACCAGCACACTGTCCAGAGAATGTTAGTACAAGCAGTCACAGACCTGCCGGGTGCCTGGCGCTGCGCTGGGTCCTTGGGTAGGGAGGAACATGAAGAAGAGTAACACGGTCATTGCCTTCTGGAAGCTTCGTAAGTCATCGCCGTCATCGACTACCACGCATGGAGAACTTAGCATGTGGCAGACACGGAGCCGAGTGTTTTCACACGCTCTCCCATAATGCTTTGACCAACCCTGTGTCGTTGCCCCTATTGAGGACACTGAGACCCAACAAGGT